TGCAGTTTGAGCATATCCTGTTTCAAATCACAATAATCTAAACGACAATAACTTAAAAACACGTACAAAGAGCCTTCAAGTAGTAAAATGATAACTTTATATGTTAAATAAAGAAACCACTGTTGAACGCAGCCACCATTCATTTTAAACGGGCGTTTCTTTGGAGTTGTCATCAGTTTTGGAACATCAGGCAGAGGTTTACTTAAAGGAATCCAGGTAAAGCTTTGAGCAGGACCAAAGTTGATTTCTGCTGCTTTAAACAACTCCATCCTCACATTTGATTTACTTTTCAGATAGTACTCTGCATGTTTCAGTACCTTTCTGGAAATAGACTTCAAAATTTTATATAAATGATCCAATGTGAGCATTGTTTTTTAATACGGTTTGTGAACTTATACCATTTCTGAGATTGAAGTTGATTTAACGTAACAGAAATCTGCTTTGGAACTGGCCCCACTAGTTCATCTTCTGCCTGATATTTCAAACTACTGATGCTCTCTTTCAAATGTAGCAAAGTTACTGAATACTAATAATTACAGTAAACATCACTTTAAAAAAAAAACAAAAAAAAAACCACCCCCTTTAGGTTCAGATTATGCTTGCACATTGATCATAATGTGAGAAAGGGGTGTGATGTTACATAACTGAGTTGCCATTTATACCAGAGCTTATGGAAAACATTTGAGCATTATTTATCGGGTGTTATTTTCCTACACCAATTGGACAAACACTCTTCCTATTAATATATTTGTGTTGGCTTTTTAACATACCTGACTACTGTGCCCGACTGGTAAGCATCAAGAACTTTGACACGTTAACTAGGCAACACAAATTCTGTTTACCAGTGAAACTAGCCAAGTCTATTTTGACTTTACTATTGAACAAGTGTGAATTTTTAGCTTCAGAATAGCTGGAATCAGTACTAATTAGGGAGTGACAGCTTAACTTTTCAATGGTCTTTGTTGGGAGACTGAAAGAAATCATCGTAGCATTAAATGTACCTATGTGAAAGGAGAGAGAATCAGTAGCTACAATAATGTGAAGTCATGATATTCTCAGTAAAGCTCAGCTTGTTCGTGTACTTTAGACTGTGTTTGGAGCAATCTTACTGTCTGCCTGTTCTCTGGGGATGTCACTCTTAAATAATTAAAACTACCTTCAAATGTAGGGTGAGCTACTGGAGATGGGTGTAGGATACCAAATGTATGGGCACAGTGCCCACTGCTTCCTAGCTGTACGTCCGCTTTCACAATTGAATTTTTTTAAACATTTAAAACTCAAGGAAAACATATGGCATATGTTGTCAAAGTTTTGTAGGGTTTATGAGCGGAATAGAAATAGAAACATAGCTGAGGAGTGGAAGATAAGATGCCATGCTCACTGCAAAGAGCACAGTCTGAGGTTTCTAGGCTTAAGATCTGACCAATGTTACAATGAGCTGGTTTCATGCAGCAAAACTACTTTAACCATTTACCACCAAAGCCTCAAAATTTACACCTGGATATTTTAACTGTAAAAAGGCCATTGAATGTGCGATATGGCATAAAATTCATATCACAATATGTATTGTGAAGGGTGGTGGTAACGATAATTTTTTGGTATAAAACTTGCAATAGGAATTTTAAAAAAGCATAGTGTCCTTTTGCCATCATACATTTTGAATTCCACTACTAGGTCCAGAGAGTTTTTAAATAATAAACAAATCAAGCATTAAGCTTCTTTCTTGTAGTGCAAAAGATATGAAATGTAGTTAACAGTTTCCAGTATTCTCACTTAAGAAACGAACCTCAACAGAGCAGCATTTTACACTGAAACACTCTAGTGGGCGTCTCCTTCCGCTTTAATGGAGAGCTGACACAAAAAGACTGTGGCTTTGACCAGAGGGTCTCGCAGTAAAATCACACAACACAGCGTTCTTTTCAGAGAGCAGGTTTCTCTAAAGCTGACCAACGCTTACTTTAAATTTTTTTTTCGTCGAAAGTTAGAACACAGCGTCTTGCGCATGCGTCCGAATACGACAACACTACCAAGCCGGCCGTAGTTAGCTCTCGAAGAAATGACTTTAACGCCACTTGCGCACAGTTTTTAACTAATAAACAGTAACGATTAAACTGACAACTCTGATTTTACTTCAGACACAGCATTACTGCAGTAGAAGACAGATCTCTATCATTTCTACCATGTACCATATATATCGTGCTACCTGTGAATAAATATTTTTGCCCATTCTTTTATAATAATTGGAACTTTCAATATCTAGCAGGGGTGGGAAGGGGTTAGTTTACTGTCTATTAAAAGTCTGCAACATGCATCAGATTAGAAGAAGTTTTAAACCCCAGAAACGGTGAACTGTGGCTCAGCCAAACTAAAGGAGCACAAGTGCACAGCATGTGTGACTGAATCACTGACGTCTAAATCCCACATTCGTTCTTACTGGTATTTAAAACTTTTGCTGTGTCTGATTGAAATGAACACATTGTATTGAAGATCAAAAGATTTCAAGCCCAGAACATCCTCAGTCTTCTTCCTGAGCATGGTGTTTCACTCCTGAACATATTTATTAGTCCTCACAGTTATGGCTGAGCAAATGCAAGCTCAAAAGTGGAAGTACAGATAAAAAGCAGAGGGTGCAACCAAAGGGCAGTCAGTCTTTTCACTCACTAAGTGGAACTAGACTGCCTACAAAGCTAAAAATGCACCTTTGTTACCCAGAAGGGCACACATCAGTAACATTAGTGACTACTTGGGCCTTTACTGGTTGACTAGTAAGGCCAAAAGAGGTTATAGTACAGTAGTTCCTCGTTCCACGCCAGCTTGATGTGTTATTAATAAAATAAATTTGTTTCTAAGCTCATTGTGTAAAGTGCTAACTCTGTATGAATACTCAGTATCTGCAAGTACCCAAACTCAAGAACGTGTAGCTGGTTTGAAAAAAATGGTATTGGGACCTTGATAAGCAGTAAAGTTAGGCATAATTTGTGTAGACACTATTTCACAAGTACAGCAAAGATGAAAAATAATTTGGCCCAATGGTTCACTAGCACCATAAACAGCCAACAAGGTAACTTCTAGTGCAAATTTATCTAGTAAGAGTGTTTGTTCAACTTGGTACCAAAATCTGAAATTAATATAAGAAATTGTCACTACTAAGAGCTAAGATACAAACAGGTTGAGAAAAAAAGATGCTGATGCATGCTACACTCACTGTGGTCACCTACTTTGAAAATATCACTACATAGCATGGATTAGACAAAAAACACAGAAAGGAGTAACAAAAAATGTCACTTAATATCAAAATAAACAAATGTGTATTATAGCAATAGCTTGAACAACTAAAAGGAAGATTTGAGTTATTGTAGATGGAAGGTACTGGATTACGTTGTGGCCTGTCTGCATGTACAGGTCATAAAATTAGAATATCATGAAAAAGTTGATTTATTTTAATGTTGATGATTAGAACTGACAACTAATGAAACCGAAAATTAAATTATTACTTAAGACCAATTAAAAAAAATATATATTTTTAGATATGTTGGCAAACTGAAACGCAAGTACAGCACTCGGTACTTAACTGTTGGGTCCTTTTGACTGGATTACTGCAGCAATGCAGGGTGGCATGGAGTCGATTTGTCTGTGGCACTGCTCAGGTGTTATGAGAGCATAGGTTGCTCCAATAGTGGACTTGAGCTCTTCTGAATTGTTGGGTCTGGTGCATCACATCTTCCTTTTCACATTACCCCATAGATAAGGTCAGGTGAGTTTGCTGGCCAATTAAGAACAGGGATACCATGGTCCTTAACCAAGTACTGGTAGCTTTGGCACTGTGTGCAGATAATCCTGTTGGAAAATAAAATCTGCATCTCCATAAGGTTTATCAGCAGCAGGAAGCATGAAGTGCTCTAAAACTTCCTGGTAGATGACTGTATTGACCGTGGACCAACACCAGCAGATGACTTGTCTAAAGTTAAGTTATTTGATGAAAGTAGATTTTGCATTTCCTTTGGAAATCAAGATCCCAGAGTCTAGAAGAAAAGAGGTGAGGCACAGAATCCATGTTGCTTAAGGTCCAGTGTCAAGTTTCCACAGTAAGTGATGGTGCCATGTCATCTGCTTGTGTTGGTCCACTGTGTTTTCTGTGGTCCAAGGTCAACACAGCCATTTGCCAGGAAGTTTTAGAGCACTTCATGCTTCCTGCTGCTGACCAACTTTATGGAGATGCAGATTTTATTTTCCAACAGGACTTGGCAACTGCACCTGGTTTAAGGACCAGGGTATCCCTGTTCTTAATTGGTCAGCAAACTCACCTGACCGTAACCCCATAAAAAATCTATGTGGTATTGTGAAGAGGAAGATGTGATACACCAGACCCAACAATTCAGAAGAGCTGGAGGCCACTATCAGAGCAACCTGTGCTCTCATAACACCCGAGCAGTGACACAGACTGATCGACTACATGCCACGCCACATTGCTGCAGTAATCCAGAAAAAAAGGAGCCCCAACTAAGTACTGAGTGATGTACATGCTCATACTTTTCATTTGGCCAACATTTCTAAAAATACTTTTTTGGGGGGTTAAGTAATATTCTAATATTCTGAATTTGGGGTTTTCATTAGTTGTCAGTTATAATCATCATTAAAAGAAATAAACGTTTGAAATAAATCAGTCTGTGTGTAATGAATGAATATAATACAAGTTCCACTTTTTGAATGGAATTACTGAAATAAACTTTTTCATAATATTCTAATTTTATGACCAGCACCTGTAGATGTTAGCCTCACTCCTTCAATCTTTCTGACTGCCACAACAATAAAGATACAGAGCATCTCAAAGTACTCTACCTAAATCAAAATGAACAAAACACTGATGCTCTCAAAAATTGAGAATATGCAATTTGTCTTCGTCTCTTTCGCTTTCTCAGTTAAAACCAGAACATTTACAAAAAAGGAACCTACCTGAAAATTATTTTCTGCTTTCTCTCCTTTTCCTCTCTTTGTACAAGATGGAGCAGCCATCTATGGACCAGAAGGGACATGCCAATGTGCCATGGATTGTGGAGCCTGGTCAGGAGGCAAAGAGAGGAGTCAACACCAAGTACGAGACCACTATTTTCTAACATACACCCGCCTTGTCCACTCCTGTGTGTGTGTGCCTTTCAGAAGTTGCCCTGTATCGGGGCCCAGCCCCGGAGTCGGGCACAAGCGACGCACGCCGCCGTGTCACCTCACCGGCTGAAAAACAAAAATTCAATACACCTCACTTCGTCCCGCCCTCATTAGCCGAGCCTGTCAACTGCATGATGACCATTGGCGCTGCGATGTTTCTCTTCTTTTTGTTCCCCCCCCCTCCCTGGCCAGGCCTCATCCTCCTGCTTGCAGGGCTCGCATGACCTTTGAACCCAGGGTAGTGGTGCATTCTGTCTCCACATGTTGGGAGAACGGTCAGTTCAGTGTTTCCCACTTCCAGTCAACTAATTTGTTTTTCTGCATTTAGTTTGTCTTTTTCGTTCCTGTTAATAGGTACAACTGTTTAGCTTCATATCTCTCCTTTTTTTCTTCCATCCCTCGCTTTTCTCGTCATTTCAGCCCCTACGTCCAACCCTTGACAACTTTATTGAGATTCAACAAAGAATACTGCTCTAAGAGCTGTAACAGTGTTTTAGCTGTCTGTTGAAATTAGTATGGGAGCTGACAAAGACGAGGGATGTTGTCTGAACTTGACAACTGGAGAAAAGTTCAGACTTTTAAATCATTTTTTAAATGAAGAGGAAAGGTGATGTAGCACAATGTAACTTTGATTAAAGCTGGCTCATCCAGCAGGCTACTAGAATGTATTTCAACTTTGAACCTTTATATCAAGTTATTATTTTTGGTGACACTAACAAACTTGTGATTTTTTTTTTCTTTTACAAAACTAGATTTTCTAATTGACCTGTGACACAGGAAGATGGATTAGGTTTTGCTTTTCTAGGACTATTTTCAAAATGTCTGTATGTGTTCAGAATAACTAATGACATTAAAGTTTACCTGCTTATTGGGCGGGAAAAAAAAATGTATGTAAAAGGTTTAGCATGTGGCTTGTGGGACGCATGGTGGCCTTTTTTGGATTTGCTGAGCAGGGGTGCCGGTGGAGAGGCGGTGTGTGAGGACTCTCTCGATAAGTGATGTCATCTCATTTGCAGGGCAATGGCGGACGCTCATGTCTATTACTGTGGAATGCAAAGAATGTAGCCAGCCCTAAACATGGACCTTGTCACAAATACAATGCAAAATGGACTACAAAGGACCCTCTTGCTCACTTTTCAAAAGGACAACAAACATGGATGCTACTCCCCAATGTTTAAGGTTGACTACAAAACTTTATCATTCATCCACACAATGCTTGATTAAGTAAACAATGGACCAGTAAAGACAGACACACTAACAGGACTGCATCCTGACAGATGATGTCTGCTCTGAATGTACACTTAATTGAAAGCAGCCTTGAGTTTCTGCACTTACAGCAGGATCTGTTTTATGCACTCCACCTGGAAAGCATGATTGTTGAACTTCAATATGGTCAGCATCTTCATGGAGACTGAGTATGGTAACAGGGCATTTGTTGGCAAAAGACGATGGGCATGTTTATTTATTGGCATGGGTTCCAGGATATGGCTGGCTCTTTATTTTGTTTCATGTTTAAAAAAAAAACAATATGCACAAGTGTGTCAATGTGATTGGACTTGCTGCAACAACACGGTCAAGATGCATCAACTGTCTCATAACGAGCCTATGTGAACAATATGGCATCTAGTGTTTAAAAAAAAGAAAAGTATTCTATTCGTATTGCCCGACATTTTAATGTTTAATATGAGAGTATTCTATTACCATGATGATAATCCTTGTGCAATTCTTGTCTACCGTTGTCTTAATGTTACATTATTTTTCTATGATATGCTGAGATGAAAACTTTGAGCCTGAGAACGATGGCAATCCTTATAAAAACTGAAACTAGATGTTCATACTTGTACAGAGAGTGAATGTTGCAGGTTGCTTGCTAACTCCTAGGTCAGGTCAACCTCCATTTCTCATGGGGCTCTACTATTATCTTGCAGATGTACTATTTTAAAAGCAGTATTACTGTATTATTTGGATGAGACATTATCCACTTATAAAATGTATATAGATATTTTGCCAACTCATTGTGAATACATGTAAAGAGAAAAGATTTGCAGTAAATGGCACTGGAAATAAGGTACCAAAATAAAGGCTGGATGTTTCAAAAAGTGGTAGTTTGTAGAGGTTGTATTTTGAGTGAAAATATGGATTACTTGGTAACATCACTGCTGATTTACTAATATATTTAGGCTTGGGCTTCCAGCACACTAATTTTTGTAATTTTGGCCATTATTTATATCCTTGTAAAGCACATGAAATAAAATCTGACTTGTACAACCATATTTTTGATTTGTCATGAATTTTATGAACCACGACATGAAGTATGTAAAATGTTTCAACTGCATGCATCACACTTTTCCTAATCCAATTACAGATTTTTCTTTAAGGTCTGGGTGCATTGTGAAAATATTAATTTAAACCTAACTTTTCCCCAGAACTAGAAATAATTTTAAAAAAAAAGCTCTAAATTATTAAACAGAAGCATCTGTACAAATTCAAAGCATATCATACATTTTTTACTTTACTTTTTTAAAATGAATAAACTATATACCATACCATTTTTTCATTACAAAAAGGACATTTTTCTTTAACTGGCCCAAAAAATACTATTAAATTGTTAAAACTTTGTGTACTACGTACACATATATCCACAAGTACACAGTAGTCCATATTATAAAAATTACTGCATTCTTTACTAGAAATACTTTTAAAAAATGCTTACTGGACCTTCTAAAAGGTAAATGCTATCAGAACGAAAACAATTTTCACAAACAGGCAGGCTAAAAACAAACCTGAATTTATCTACATGATTTAAAATCACTCTTGGAAAGAAGGATGAGAGACCGCGATGGTGAAAACTCTAAGCAATCTGTTGGCTCCTTAGATAAATAATGTTATTAACTAATTTTATATGTATGTGAATGTTTCTGTTCAGTGCCCCGAGACAACTTCTGTTGTGATTTGGTGCTATATAAACAAACTGAATTAAAAATGTCAAAACTATATGGAAATCTTTATGCCACATTCGGTAGTTTAACATTTAACAACTATTTGGATAATACTTAAGTACCATATGATGATGGGAGTTTGTTTTTCCTGCTAATTTCAACTCTTGATGTGTTAAATTTTGTGTACGCAAACAATATATGAATGATTAAGACATAAAAATGTTCTGATAGATCAAACTTATAACTATCAAAAGGATCATGAAGCCTATGAATAGTATTAATAAAAGCCCGATAGAAAAGTATGTCTGTGTGTCACTTACCATCTGTTAAATCCAAAGCCAGGAAGTGATGTCATTTTGTCCCTTCCAGCTCTTCTGACCAGCACTTTAAAATGAAACAAAATAATAATTAATCTTCTGCGCACATTGACAATATCTGAAAATGTTTGTACCATAACTGATGCATTCTTCTGTAGAAGATTTTGTTGGAAAATTTCTAAATAAATTTTGCTAAATGTTTAGTGCCTACATCATTGACTGTATTTTTTACTATTTTTTCTGAAGCAGGAAGTAGAATTACATTAAAACCTTTGGGTCATTTACACTCCAAGCTATTAAGAGTTACTGATGTTTCAGGGAGTGGATAATGTGAAAGTTGTTGTGCTGAATGGAGATGCAAATTATTTTGAACCCTCTGGAAAAACGATGCGTTAGTCTTAAATCGGCACATGGTTAAAGATAAATGTCCTTCTGTGTTTTATACTGCGAGTTCAAGCATTACTGATGACGAGGATTTCTAGAAGAAAAGTATGAAGTTGTCTACAAAATACAACCCTGAGAGGTAACCAACAGCCTTGGAGCTGCACAGGACAGATCAGATGAGTGACCTACTGCAGGGTCAGAAGCTCAACCTTCACTTTGATGCTCTTGACAGTTTCCATGGTGACCACATTTTTCCACAGGCACGCACTGACAGTCTCATAATAAAGAGCAAATCTTGTTGAACCCATTTGTAGACACGTCCACGACATAATCACAAAGAACAGCGCACGCAACAAATGACACGCTACTACATATTTAAGCAACCAATTACTACACAACCTCATTAGTCTCATTTATCAGCTGATTAAACTTTGGACACCCTGCGCCAGCTACAATACATCACTTCAGTGAAATACTACTCTAAATCATACCTAAAACATATTTTTATAGGATATATAATATAATTTGCTTAAAACTTGAGGTAAAATTACTACAGTTTCACAGATATGCACCCCCCCCCCCCCCCACTGAACACAATATATTTTATTTTTAAACAACATAGAATAATGACCTTATGGTGAACAAGCGTCTTAAGTTAAAAACATTCTAAAAGTACTCCAATGAAGAATTTCACATTATATTGGTAAACGCATGATTTACAACACTCCTTGTCTTTGTCATAAGGCTAGCTTAAAAATTAGTCAACATGTGCAAGAGGAGATAGGCGTGACATTTACAGTGAGCTTCCTGAAGCCTTGACAGCCATTTGTATGGTCTATAAACTGTCGAATAAAAGTGCTCGCTATCTTTTTTGCAAGGTGGACAGCTACAATCTCCAAGCAACAGACAGAACAACTGTCCTGTTTTCTGAGTCTACAAGCAAAACAACTGGGACTGCAGGACGGTGGTGTGCAGATAATTTACTGCCAATCTGGAATTTGATGCATTTTGCTAAAGTTGACAGTGCATAATATTGTTAAATGAAGAGCAGACCACTTCACGTGGAAGTGAATTATAAACATTTCAGGAGTGGAGCACTGACGCAGTAACTGCTGCATTTAGGCTTCACAAATCTCCAGCAGCATGGTTTTATTTATACTGCTGGCAGAGTTGGAAGCAAAAGGACTTAACAAGACAAAGTGGGTCAATGAGGAGAGCAATAAAATAAAAGCAGCAATGTATAAACATGCACCGAATATTTTGTGCTTTTAAGAAAATAATTGATCATATCAATATAGTTAGTTTGTTGGCTGCAGCATAAAAAGGAAGAATGCAAGTTTTGTTTCATTATGTGTGTCAGACTGGGACAGAGCTCAAAGTTCCAGATGGTATGTAGTGCCCACGGCCACCGACTAAATGAGACAATAGAAAAAAACTGCTCACGTAATAATCACAATTATATCTGGCATTT